CGTACTGTGATGCACTTCATCCAGCGCTGTCATCATACTCAGTGAGTGTGGTGCGGCGTATGCTGCGTACTGTGATGCACTACATCCAGCGCTGTTTCTTCATATGTTATTAAGATTGATTTTCCCCTGAATTTTCTTCATTAAAATATTTTCATTGGTGTTACATCTTTTATTTAATAAATAATTTCTTAGATCGGTATCAATAATCCCTTGTAACGATGTTTTAGCTCTATATTTTACAAGTTAAACGCATGTAAAGCAAAAAATTATACATTTTACAGAGTCATGTCTATGCGAACGGCTGCTGGAGTAATTATACATTAGTAGTAGTATCATATCAATTAGTAAACCAAAGTAATCTAATATAATTTATGAGACATAAACTCGCGAATTTCTGTTGAACGCTAATTTATTAAATAAGTTTAACTTTTTATTTCAAATTTTTCTGAAAAATATTTTCGGGAGAGTTTTTTTTAATTCTTTGCTGCCAAGTAAGCGATGGCGGAAGAATTTCCTAAATATCTGATAGCTAGAAATTAATGTTTTATAGATTTTTAATTTACATATGGTCATTGAATAGCGTTTCTTTGAATCTATTTTGGTCACTTCAAATACCCATGAAACAGTCAAATGAGCATTATTGCCTGATATCTTATCCCGAATGCGTTCACACAGAATGTGAACGCATTTTTTACACCTTTCCCATATTATAATGATTACTTAGTATGATTGTAAAATTAGTTATTATTAGTAAAATTACTTGCATAGCGCATTTAATGAAAGAATAATCTCACATAGAGAATAATAATAATAATTTCTTAGACATAATATATAATAGTAATACATCTTAGACATAAGGGAGTTAATCATTTATTATTCATAATTCATTAACATTATATTTAATTCACAGCATTCATTTTACGACATCAGTAAATAGTTATGACAACGCAATTAAGCGTCAGTCCGTTTGTTATACATTTTAAATTACATCTGATACATAATTCTATCATTCATCTTAATATTTATTTGATCTAAATATATAAGACTATCAAATAGAAACTATACGATCAGTGATATGAAGATCGGGACCGAAAATATCTCGGTATCATTCTTTATTATACTAATCACGGTTCCTGTTTTAGTACGGTAAAGAACCAAATGTTAACAAGACGACAACACCTAAAGTTTGTTTGTGTTGACGGAAAGGTGCGATGGACGCATAAATTTCAATATTTATTATTTCGTTTTCACCGTAATTGGGATTCGGGCTTGTCGGAAGAAGATTCATAAATTGCAGGAATCTGTATGGAGTATCGCTAACTTCAGAATTAAATTCATGTTTGATAATTGAAATTAGGTCTAATACAGTTAAAATCTTTTTTTCATTACCGCATTTTTTTGTATAAAATTTGTAGACAAAAATTTAATGAATCGCAAAATTTTTTACTTTTTTTATTACATGAGAATTAATTACTGGTTACCTTTATAGGCTGGTATGCAGGCTTGATGTGATAATCTCAATTATTAAAATTATAATTAATAGCCAGTGTAGGCGGAATTTGAAGAAGCTATTCAATATGAACGAAAAATAATATATGAATTACTATATATAATATATGAACAGAATATTTTATAAAAGATATTTCCTACATATAAAAATGCTTACAGAAATTACAATTGCATAAAAATCAATGTGCATAGACTGTAAAATTTTGCCTGGAAAAGAGTAGCGACACTCACCATGGCTGGCCTGGAGACGCTCGCGCCAGAAGAGGGGGTTCTGAAGCATTCCTTGGACCCCCGGCCAGTAAACCGACGAAGGCCTCGCAAGCTCTGCCATTTTGCCGGCCAAACCCCCATACAAAGTCCCCATGGGGCCACCAAGCCGACCTAGTCCACCCATGGCACCCATGGAGAGCCCCCCAGTGGACGTGGTGATGAATGGGCTGGGTCGGCTGAGGATGTTCTCGATACCGTGGGGATTAGCGAGTGTCGTGGCGATGCAGCTGTTTGGGGATGTGGGGGTCGAGTAGGAGCTGTAGATTGACGAGACCGGGGGAGGAGTGGGATTAGGATACGAGGCCGGCGATAAATGGTGGGATTCGTGTGGGGAAGACAGTCCCTGTGGGGATAACTGGGGTGGGGAATGTGGTGAGAGGGATTTTGGGGGCCCATAGCGGGCTTTCATGTCCGTCATAGTGTGGAGGGCAGCGAGGGGAGGATTCAACACCAATTTGCTGTGCTGATCCATGCTGGTTAACAGGCTTAGCATCCCGCCCGCCGTGCTAGACGCTGGGTTTTGGTTCAGTTCCAGCATTTCGAACGCTTGAATTTTGACGGTTCGGACCTCTTGCAAAAATTGATTTCTTTTCAAATCGGAATAAAAATTATATAATGCCGCTCAAATCTGAAGAATGCGACGCTCCTTGTCTACACTTGAAGTCAGTATATGAAGGCACATAAATAAATTCTAAATAAAATTAGGTTGGTTGTTTTTTCTTCGCTATTTCAACAGTTTAGACGTCATCATTTTCTCTACCGCTTTTGTTAGAATAGATGAGTCAGAAAAAGTTCAGTTTGATGGTGCATATTTATAATATTTAATTGTTATAATTGATGTTCCATTCACTCTAATTGATCCTTGTTAAAGCCACTTAGATTTTAATTAGTTTGTCCCAAGCGGACCAAACTAAGGGGGCGAATTTACTATACCATTTTCACTCCATTTAGATAAACCATTTGTGAATTTTCAAGTTTATTGTGATTTGTATTCAGAATTTTCGATTTAAACTCTAGAATGGTCCAAATGACTGAAATCAAATTTTGATGAATTAATGAGAATCGAAAAGTACGTTTCTCTGGAAAAAATCAATACGCTTTGAAGTTCAGTGAGAAATAATTTTTGTTTTACCGGAGAAAGTTTCAGCAAACTTTCAATTTTGTAAAATATTGAAAACTGACCGTGGAATAAGTTTTAAGTTTGAGAATAACTTCATGTAACGAAAATCTCATTGTTAAATAAAGAACAATTATATACATAACACACGGTACGGTAGCTGGAATTACGTTGTTCCGAAATGGTTATAAACTTTAAAGAATTAATCAGGTCAAGAAAGCTTGGCGTCAGAAATTCAACTTTGTGTGTTATGGAAGTTTGTGCATTACTGGCATGAAAGTTAGCTTATCCGTGAAGATATTTTACTAGCTGTATTAATCTGTTGCAATAAATAACATTCATATATTTAGTACTTAAACTGTTCGTTTGTATTTTGTTTCAATCAATATGAAACATGAATATTTCTCACTGTGTAAATAATGGATGAAGTTTTCGTATTGAGACTTTGAAAAAGTTGTAAGTTTAAAAAGTTTAAAACTTTTAGAGTTAAAGTAAAGAATGGTATTCGGGTCCTCGTCAGTTTTTGAATAATTTTTGGAGCGAAATTGAGATTGTGTAGGAATTTTAATGCTAATATGTATTTAAATTGAATATATTGTATTATCATCACCCGGAATCCAGAGTAGCTATAGTAGAAAATCATGAGCGTTCGTTACCACAGATATTTTTGAAAATCACAGCCGCAGAGTTTTTTATTACATCGAATAGACAGAATTTGATATAATTAGATTAAATTAAATGATTAGAAAAATGGGTAGAATTAGAAATAATGAGATGATTTCAGATAAAATGTAAAAGAATAGAATAGAATAAGATGGATGTAGAAGCTATACAATAGAATTATACCTATATTTAACTTGATGGAGAAGGAAATGAATAAAGCATTGTTAAGATATTGAAATTATTTTTCGATTGAAATTGAATTAGATCACAAAAATTATTGTTAAATGGTGGAGGTCAATTGAATATACCCATTCATATAAAGTAATGTCAGTCAATAAATAAAAAAAATTGATTGATGTTTTCAAATCCATTATTTAAAATATTTCTTCACCGCACATTTAGTATCCATAAACTTTTACTCGAAATCATGTTTTTTATTTGTTTTGGTACAATAGTTCAATAAAAACATTTAGTTAAACGTAATCAAATGGCGCTGCAACATCGATTGTCAAGCAATGAAGGCGGCGATTTTTTACACGATATTTTAGTTCACTTGTTCGTCACATATATCGAAGAAGCTTATCTAGAAAAATCTCTAGGCTTTCAAAAAAATCAATATTCTTCACTTGCTTTCTTCAAGTTCATTTTCCAGTCGCACTATAATCACTACCCTGGAGCTATTGCAATCACACTCCTACTTCAGTCCGTATAAATGAAGTTATTGAATGTAAAAAAATAATATATTCGGGCATCGCTTAACGATACATTAATGTAACTAAGTTTTCACGCAACACTTTGAGTTGATTTTCCAGTTAATAATACGACGATCATTGAGACAGCGGCTGCAAAGAAGGCCATTTGAGCGGCAGGCAGGACTGGAAGAAGGCCGTCGAAGGTCTCGGTAGGGTGCACGTCGCACGGCGATAATCTGGCCTATACAGAGGCTTTTGCCTGTCGCCTCGCACATCAACTTGTGCCTCCAAATACTTGAGTTAACTTGCACTGACTTGGAACAGACTCCTCCCAGCAATCCCAGGCACCGCCCGTCCCTGCTAGACCCATTCCAGGACTCCTCCAGACCCGCCTTCTGGGTCTGGAATGATTCCTGGAGCTGGAACGCCCGCAGCTCCTCGCAATTACACGCCTCTTTTTGACACGAAAACGAGCCGCGCCATTGGCCTTTAGTATCCAGGCAGGCGTGCCTGGAACTCGATCAATGGAAATGAACTCCAATGGAGGGCAGTGGAGGAAGAACTTTTTTCAGGATTGGTGGAGGAGGAGATAATAGGGCGGCACGCCACTTAATACTGGCGTTTGGTTAAGATTTTTGTTTAGTTGTTGAGATGTTAGGAGCAATGATTGCGCTCCAGCCACAGCAGATAAGTTAATAAGCGACGCGAGCGGTAGGCCGTCTTAAGAGCTCTATTGCTTGCATGAGTCCATTAGACGAGCACAACACCATTGGATGTGGCCGCACAAGCAGCGCCATAAACACCGCATGTTTCTCATATCGTCCTTAACGCTCCCATTATGGCCTTAAGGGCCCTAATAATTGCTGCCGACAACATACTTGCGATTTATTGTGGCCAGCGTCGCCATAATTGCTCCAACAATTGAGTGGGCATTTATTATGACCAGCGCCGCCATAATTGCTCCAACAATTGAGTGGGCATTTATTATGACCAGCG